GAGAAAACATCCCAGCCCAGGAGAGATCAAGTCCATAAGTCCGATCCCAATCGATAAAGTCCTCTTCAGACTCACAAAACACAAGCAATGATGCCAAATGCAGGAAGATGACAGGCTAGTGGGTGCAAAGTATTTTGGATCCAGTGGCAGTAGAAGCATCTCAGCACTGGCAGGGGCCTCCACGTGGCTTCTCTGGCTCCAGAGGTCTGGCTCTATCAGCCTCTCTTCATGTGTCTTCTCCACAGGGACATCTCACAGGGAGTGAGCAGAGAGAGTGTATCTCCTACCTCCAAGGAGGAAATACAGGAGTTCCCAGAATCCTCAGGAGAAGGCTATGCCCACACAGAGGCCTCATTGGCTATATCCTCCTGATTGACAGGCTAGACTCCACCCCTTCAACTCTTAATCCTCAAATTGACACCAGATTATGTAACTACCACAGAAGGTTAAACATGTAGATGGAAGAACATGTTCAATGAATATGCAGTAGGGGTGGGGGGTGGGACCTCCCATTGAGGAGCTACAAGAAAGAGGTTTTTTAATTTTTTTTTAATGTGATTGGAACATAAACCATGTGCGGGATAAAGTAAATATGAGACTAGAGATGTAGGCAAGAATCTAATAATGAACATCTAAGGAAGATGATATGAATATTGGGAACTTTGGACTGATGGCAAAGCGGGACTCTGAAAGGTGGACAGCGGTGTGCTGGGACCTCCGAACGTGGACGTGGGATTGTGGGTGTCCCTGAGATACAAAGCAGGGGGCAGAGACTGGAGACTGTATTAAAAGTCAAGAAGAGCCATTATCCGGGTATTAGCTAATGTAGCTGGGATGGGTATGTTCCCGAGAAAGAAATTATTTAAAATAAGGGATCAAAAACTGCCCCTCCCAAGACATAAAATCTATTATCTTGTCACGAGTGAATCCCAGTCTTCAAATCCCTGTCTTCTGATTTCCTTATCTGCATATTAATTTTTAAAATTAATTTTTAAATGCCCCGTCTGTGAAAATGTGTCGCAAATGCCAGAGTCCCACTTCAGCGACTTAACAGTATAAAGGGAGTATTCTGTCTCAAGTGCATGAAAGGCCAAGAGGTGGAAATGACTTTATTCAAGACTCACCCATAGGCTCCCACGATGGTGGTGATGTCACACAGCTTTATTAGGACTCCGTGTGTTTATCCTGCCTCCCATCGTAGCGTTGGCTTTAGCCTCAGGTACTGTACAGTCAAAGTGACAAGCCCCATCATCTCATGAGAGCCTCTCCTGACACTTCCCAAGTGAAGAGACTCTTCACAAGTTGTCCTATTGGCTTGACTGTAAATGTCCAGAAGATTTTAAAGAACTAAGAACCTAAAAGAAAGTGCATCATTGTAGCAAGCTATTTGGATGATAACTCTGAATGAACGGGCATTTATCAGCTCTGCCTCTGGGGTTAACAAAAAGATTGGAAAGGCCCCAGCTTGCTATAAGTATCAGAAATGGACAGGCAGGGAGGTGAATGGATCTGGGAAACAAGACAAAGATATCAACGAAGAGAGCCCATGTGAATCCTGAGTGCATGATGGGGGAGGGGACCCCCACATTTTCTACCAAGACTTCTCTGTTTCTCTTTGTGATAGCTGTCTAGTTAAATTTCACCCACATGTTTGTGAGAAAATCCTTGGGGGGGGGGCAAGAAATCAACCTAATCCATCTCCCTACATCTAGCCTCCTGTAGTTTCTGACCACATGGGCTTGGCGATTTTTGTTGGCTTGTTAAAGGGATAGGTACATGGATGCAAATCACTATCGAGTGCAGTCTCGGGCTTAAAAGAGAACCAAAAAAGAAGAAAGGAGAGGCCGTCAATGTTTATAGGGGAGTGAAGGGAATGAGGAGGACCCACTCCTAGAAGTGCATGACCCACAGTCGATGGACTGTTTACCTTGTGAGTGAGTGAGTGAGTGAGTGAGTGAGACAGGCCATCCTATCCCTCCCCCGGATCAATGACTTTTAGATGGGGCGTACGTCCAGAATTCTATAAGTGATAGGCTCCTCGTGAATTCTGCACGTCTTTCTCCGACCCAGGTGCAGCCTTTGTGAAGGAGAACTACTGACAACTCCAAGCCAGGATGGGAGACCTGGGTGGAGTGCTGGATGATCTTTAGGACAACATGGTCTTCACTGAGGACGAGAAGGAGCTGGTGGAACAGGCACCCACCCAGCGGAAGAGGAACAACGTGCTGCTGAAACTGGTGGACAAGAAAGGAGAGCAGGCGCTGGACTTGCTCTACAAGAGCCTCAATGAAAGGGACCCTTACCTTGTGTCTTACCTCAGGCAGCCCAGTTTGTTCCCATGACT